GTCAACTATAGTGAGGCTCACAATATCGGGACCGGTATTGAGTGCTATGAGAGTAGTGGCGCCGTCGGGTCTGTTGAATGCAATTGTGGTTAAGTTTTGTAAGACATGTGATTCCTTGGCGTCTATTCTTCGGGAATCGGGTTCAATAAATTTGCTGAAGTGTCCCAATCCGTAGAAAACCGGGTTCTTGTAGTACTCCTCGTCGATGGCACTGACACTAATGGGTCCGTCGCAGTAGTTGTGCACCCAATTAGGACCCCCCTGAACGTCAAGCACCATATTCCAGTCAACCCAACCTACCGTTTCATGTTTTAGACCCTTTTCAGTGATTATACATAAACTTATAATGGAGTTTATTTAAATGAGCAAGGTATGCAAACAGACCCGTAATATATCGCCAGCATATCTGTTAAGGCTTTCCCAGTTTCCGAGTTTATGGTCCGCAAGACTGGCTTCAGTGCTCAGAATGAACTTCATTTCGTCCAACGCCTGAACCTTATCGAGGATTGCGATGTTTGTGTCGTTATTCTCATACCAGTGCACAGCAGTGCCTGAGATATATTTGGCCGCATCCCTGTCCGCTAATATAGTCTGCGCCCATTGCAACAGTTGGTTGATATTATCATCAAATATCATAAGTTTGGTGGTATTGACGCCATAACCGGCCTCTTCCAGAATGGGTCCCAAATCCTGTTTAATAAAGTCGCGCTGAAGTTCTGCTGTAAAACCCAAACTATTGAATGAATAGTTGGGATCGGAATGCAAGGGTTCGTTCTCCATAGTCAGGCCCCAAATGGGAACTCCATTCGCTTTGTATGCGTCAAGAAATCTATTTATTTAAAAATTAACTAAATATAATATCTTTATTTAAAATATGCATGTTATTTTTAAATCAATCAATATTAATATTCACTAACTTTACTAAATAGTGAGCGAATGCTTTATAGTATTTGCCGCCGGGTTTGTCAATGAGATACCCACCCCTATTTAGCCGGGTATTGTTTTTCATCCAGGCCGGTGCTGACCACGGACTACCAAATAGTTTCAGTTTATATAAACTTACCTTTTGAGCATATTTAATGTATGGTAGCTTGAAGTATAAAAATAGATATTAATATCTATGTATCAATATTATAAATGATATAAATTATAAAAAGTTTGCTCATTTGAAACATACTTTGAGTGTTTGGTCCTCGAAAGCTAGACTAAAGTTTTTGAGTTCAAAGTCAGGGATTGGGTTGTCGTCATAACTATAGGGTCGGAGCGAGAAGTCACTGCCGGCTACCGGTATTCTTCCC